ATGGGCTTTTCAATGATGCATTTTAAGCCATTCCATAATCACTTACCTCTTTGCAGTTCCCAACATTTATAGTTCTCTTCATGGGCTCTCCAGACTACTATGTTATTTTTCGAAGGAAATCACCAGCCTGGCTATCTGGAATCACCACAGCCATCGACCACCCTGGCTGGGCCATCCCTGCTGCTGAACTATCTTGCCTTGGGTCTCCTGACCTGCTCTGCCTCCAACTCCTCCTTCCTATGGCTCCCAGTCTACACCTTGTCACTGTTCTTTTCTTCATACACATTCTGGCCAATGTTAGCTCTGGTGACATGAATTTTTTTTCTTTTTCTTTTTTTTTACTTCACTGAAATACCATCTGATGGAGTTTGTATGTATTGTCCCCTCCAAAACTCATGTGGAAATTTAATCTCCAATGTGGCAGTGTTGGAAATGGATTGAGTCATGACGGCAGATCCCTCATGAATGGATTAATGCTCTCTCTGGGGGAGGGGGGATTAATGAGTGAGTTCTCGCTCTATTAGTTCCCGTGAGAGCTGGTTGTTAAAAAAGACCCTGGCACCTCCTCTCTCTCTCTCTTGCTTCCTCTCGCCATGTCATCTGCTTGTACCCACTGGCTGCCTGCCCCTTTCCGCAAGAAGCAGCCTGAGGCCCATGCCAGATGCAGCTGTCCCAGAACCATAAGCCAAATAAACCTTTTTTCCTTATAAATTACCCAGTCTCAGGTATTTCTGTTATAACAACACAAAATGGACCAATACACCATCCAAATAATTTAATTATTTTCATAATCACATATAATAATACGTATAATTTTAAAGTTAGAAATTGCCATACATCCCCACAATATCAATGCAAATGATCTTATTTTAACATTTTCTTCACCTCTGTTGAAGTTTACACATATTTCTTACTGTGAATATGCTTATATTGTTAAAATTGTACATATGGTTACATAATCTTTTTTTTTTTTTTTTTTAAAAAGATGACCGGTAAGGGGATCTTAACCCTTGACTTGGTGTTGTCAGCACCATGCTCAGCCAGTGAGCGAACCGGCCATCCCTATGTGGGATCCGAACCCGGGGCCTTGGTGTTATCAGCACCGCACTCTACCGAGTAAGCCACGGGCCGGCCCAAGGGTTACATAATCTTTTTGAGTTCCATTTTAAATGGCTACATCATGTATTTCAAAGAATTGGCATACATTCCAAGGACCTGAAATAAATTGAAAACATTCCCTGGTTATGGATACTTTATATACTTTATTCCACAACCTGCTTTTTGCACTTTCTATATCATGAACATTTCCCAAGTCAGTGCATATATTTTCTACGTTATTTGATATGGCTGCACTGCATTCCACAATAAGGATATAGGGTTTTTTCCATTTTTTTTCTATTTTTTTTTACTTTTTAAATGTTTTCATCAGGAATAATCAATACACTCCATGCTGCAAAAATCAGAAAAAATAGAATGGCACACAGCGAAAAGTCTCTCTCTTCTCTTCTTAGTTCTCATCCCCACCCCAGCATGTGACCTCCTTTCTTAGTGTCTTTCATATACTTATTTGGGCAGATGCAAGCAAATACAAATGTCATTTCTTATTTTTGTCTTTCTCTTTCTCTTTTTAACCAGAATATAATATACTACATACAGTTTTCTTCACTTTGCTTTTTTTCGCTTAATAACTTATCTTGCAGATCATTCCAACTCAGTACATAGAGAGTTTCCTCATTCTTTGGCTTCCTACTGTATAGGTACCATCCTTGACTTCCACATGCTGGACGTTGTGGCCACCTGTTTGACTCCCAATCCCATCTCTGTCCATTAATTCCAAAACCTTGTCCCATTCATTATATATCTCAATCCCTTTTTAGTGGTATTTTTTTTTTTTTTTTTTGTCTGCTAACATGTCAGGTCTCTTGTATGCTAAAAGATAATTTTTCCTTCACTCTGAGCTCTCTTAAAGCTCCCTTGATCTTCACACCTTTAGATAGAGGTGAAATGGACCTTAGCCAGAAAAACAACCATCTTTGGAGTAACTAAGACCAAGCAGAATGTTTCAGTCAGCCATTAACTTCGGAACTGATAATCATCAATTCCTTGAGGTGAGCAGAAGAATTGAGAGACTGACCAGATGGCTGAAACTGCCTGGAGATGAAATCACCTCCTCTTATGTTCATTTACTTCAGAGGTTGTGCACCTACAATTAAGGACTAAAAGTAAGTTTCTTGTTTTTCTTACCCCTCTAAACAGCTGCAAGCAAGAGGAGATATAAGAGAGAGGCAAGACAACCTAGCTGGTTGTAAACTCCCTCTCTTACTTAAAGGAAAACTGCATCCACGTTAATCAGAAATCCAAGTCATGTATTTTTATGATGTTTGACTAAGGTTATTATCTTTGAGCTCTCCCTAAGAGATAGACTCCAACTTCAAGGTAACATCAAGGAATTGAAGCTCACCACAGACTCTGTGATGCTGTAGTTTCCAATCCATCATGGGACCCTGACATTTGACTCAGACCATCTGCTGCTCCCAGATCCACCCCTTCCACCCCCTTTTCTTCAGAACAAATACTCTCACCTCATCTTCCTGCCTCTTCCCCTTTATACACCCCAGAACAGGCATCAGACATTTGGGATGCCTGGGATGATTTTAGCCTGGTCATCCCCCAGATGCTGGTTACCTGAATAAACCTTCTAGTCTTTGCACCAACTTCCAGACTTTGAGTCATTTGTTCAATGCGAGAGGGCAAGCACAGCCAGATCTGGTGGTAACAGAGGTGTCCATAGTCTTCATCCACAGCTTCCATTTCAATACCCATTTTTTCCTTGACCCTTTGTGATCTGCCTTCCTCTTCCTGTCTCTATGAAAACTGATTTCTGCAAGGTCATCCAATAGAAACATTCAGCAGCTTGATCTATTTCTCTGTCCTCATCCTTCTAACACCTGAATATGGGTATCTACCCTTTGCATATTCATTTATTCACTCTTTAACCTCTTGTAAAATGGCTTTTGCCCACCTACACATTTCATACTAAAAATGATCTCCAACTGATCACCTAACCTGCTAATGGCCAGTCTCCCAGTAATGTAGCTTTGGCTCACTTCCTTAATCCCCCCACCCCTGGTGCTCCTCCAGGCTTTGGTTCGCCCTTTTTGTCCACCTGGATTACACTTCCCTTCCATCTCTGCTATTCTAAATCTCATCCTCTAATTTCACTTGCCATGATATCTTGGCTAACCCTCCACTGAATGTATTATAGTTATTTGAGCAATTATATTTCTGTAGTGGATTCTAAATTCTGTTAAAACAAAATACAGTATTTAGGGAGCTCTTCTATGTGCCAGCCACGTGCTAAGCGATCTACATGCATTATGTCATTTAATTCTCACACCAATAACTTTAGGGCAGGACTCTCCCATTTAACATTAAACAAACTGAGGTTCAGAGAGATTAAGTAGCGTACTGGATTGAATTATGTCCCTCCCAAACTCATTGAAGCTTGAATTGTGTCCCCCAGGTTTTATGTATTAGACACTTAGCTCCTATTGTGACTGTTAAAAGGGTGAGAAATCCTATTATTGTAATTGAAAGGTGGAGCCTTGAGGAGGTGATTAGATTGTAGGACTGTGCTGTAGTGAATGGATTAAAATTGATGGTAAGGGGCATGGTTCTGAGGGCTTTAAAAGAAGAGAAGAGTCTGTCTTTCCCTCTCTGCCTCCACCAGCTTGCAATGTGAGACCCCTGGCGCGCCGTCACCACCACAAGATGGACGTTGGACTTCCCAGCCTCAGAAACTGTAAGCAATAAATTTCATTTTCTTTATAAATCAGCCAGTTCCGTGTATTGTGTTATAAGCAACAGAAACAGACTAATACAAGTAGCTTGCCCCAGATCGTACAACTGATGATGGTGGAATCAGGTTCCTCCCCGAGGTTCATGTTTGTATTACTTATGGTAGCCAGCACAGAATCCACCAACGTTGCACTCAACCTGTGTCTGTCAGATCAGCATGTTAAAAACGGTATCTGCATGTAGACCAAGACTAAGGGCGGGGGGAGGGGGGAGACAGAAAAGAATTAGGATGGTTGGATTGTTCGTGATGTTTCCAAATTTCCATTACTGGGTTATAGAGCTTTTGAAATAAGCATTTAAAATATAGTTACTAAACAGGATTGCATCTACTCTTACATAGTCTCTAATTGCTATGTGTGGGTTAGTTTTGCCTCCTGATTTTATTGTCATCCCCTGGGGATCATCTCTATTCTCTTGTGCTCCCACAGCCTTCGGCGCATTGCTCCGCACGCGATGTACGTACTTGTTGATTAAATGTGTGTATATTTGCATACGTGCACAGCAACTGGGTAGGGGACGTGGGTGTGGGATGCGGCGTGCATTCCTTCTCATTCCTTTTCCCTAGAGCAGCTGCAGCCTGGATGCTTTCTTTCTGCGGGGAGGAGGTAAAACCGCTGACCCTTTAACAAGTTGTCGCTCACAGAACAGGTGTCTCCCCCGCCTCTCGGAGGAGAGGCTGCATACTTAGTGACATCTGTCACCGACCAATGAGAAGTCAGGCTTCGGCCGCCGCGCCAATGGGCGGCCGGGGGCGGGCCCGGTTGCCTGGGAGCCGGGCGGGCCGGGCTGGTCCTGCGGCCCGCGCGCA